CTCATTCCCAATATATGAGTCCACTAAATCTTTATTACGAATTTTGTAAGTAAACACATAATTAAATAAGAAAGGAAATCACTGCTTGTTTTTTCTTCCCCTATGGTGCGGAGTAAACGCAGCCTAATAGTATTATTTTAACTCAAACTAATTCGTAAAAGTAGCAATACCCCTCCGACTCGCGAATCCCTTTTTCTATCCTAGTTTGAGAAGTAGTTGGCACTCTTTTGATTGATTTTTATTTTCTTTTTCTATCCTAGTTTGAGAAGTAGTTGGCACTCTTTTGATTGATTTTGATTGATTTTATTTTTTTTTATTTTTTATGAAACACTCTTCTGAAGCTTGCAACTATAATAAAAATTTAATCGAACAATATTGGACTGATAGAATCGGATATAGAACATCTCTCGTATCAGTTGTAAATATTTGTCCCTTATTGTCTACTTTAGATTCCGCTTTGCATTGTTTCCTAGTAAGATTATGTTGTAAATAGTCTTGAATATAATTTCTAGTGCTTTAGGTAGATAAATAACTTCTGAACCCTATGTAATTGTTTTGCTCCTCGAGTGGGGGATTAAACTATAGACTTTAATGAAAAGAACTATATAGCTCAATCGAATGGAGAGGTATGGATCATTTAACACTAAACTATACTTGCAATTACAAATCACCTCCTTATAAGTACATATAATAATCCTATAACTATATATATATATATATACACACACATATATATGCATGCATATATACACACATGTTAGAGAGAGAGGCGCTTATAAGTAAAATCTATTAGGAGACATTTGTTTCCTATATTCGTTCCTGATTCTGAATCATGATTTATGGTTCTATACAGTGTTTTCTCTCACAAAAAATACACGTAAAACTAGAATGATTCTGAATCATGATTCTGAATACATAAACCAAACGTCATCTTAAATTGATGTCTTGTCTCTGTTAGCGTTTATGCCCTTAGGAATAAATGTAACAATATTTTTTGAGATATTTTGACTATTAATAAAGATTTGTTTATTTTATATATTTATGAATTGTCCTCTTTATGTTCATAATAGTTGAATGTATGATAAGCAAACTGAAAGTCTGAGACTGTCATTCTAAATCTTTAGGTCATGCATGTAATGTGAAGAACATGCGGAAGACAAGAATCTAAAGATGATAGTCTAAATCTTATGATCCACAATCGAGGGAATAAAGTTGGGCGCTTTATTCATGTTAAGATTGTTATGTTGTCTACTTCCTAACGGAGACGGCTTGTCTTGGTCGTCGGAGGTGGGACTCCATGGGTGGAGACATTGATATAGTTTCTAATGGTGAAATCTATATTGGATCGGACCAAAGTTGAATTGTTTTAATTAATAATTCTATTTGAATAAAACAATTCACTTTTGATGAATTATATGTTGTCATCTTAATCCTGAGATGGATGATGAACCTGTATACTTGACTTGTATCCTTTGATGTACTAAAGGGAGACATCTTGACATTATGTAAAGGTACGCTTGCCGGTACATTGGGGGTATGACTCGTGTATGCGTAGATTCGTTATTTATAGATAGTGGAATCCATAGCTCCTATAAAGAGTCAATGATATCCTCTTATGCATTATCAGTGGATTGGAAAATATGAGCGCTCAGCCATTGGACTACTCTGTGTTATCTAATGGTTTACTGTTTGTAATGATACGAATAGTATTTTTCTGATGGTATGATAATGGAACATAAGATAAATGTAATCGGGAAGGTAAAACGGAACTTGACCTTAAGTCGATTATGGATATCCTATGGGGATGATACACTAATATATTGAGTCATGGACTAGAGCTAATCAGAGCTTTGTAAATACGCTATATAAATCGAGAGTGCAGCTCTAGGCTTTTAGTGAAATATCGCTACGGACTTGTTGGTTTACAAGTAGCGTTGTGATTATAGGAGCTTGATTTATATATGTCCATCGGGTCCCTTTGCTAGCTCACATAATTTCCTGTAACGATACGGTGTATTTCCTACACATTGGTAACTTGTGTTATTTCTGTAACGAGAGGTTCAAAGTTAATTCATGGGTGAATTAATTGATAAATTAATTCTAGATAAATTGGTTGAATTATTGTTTTAAGAGTTGTTTAATATAGGAAGACTATTATATGACTGTTTTGATCAGACAATTTTTCTATTGGGTTGCTTGAATCAAAACTGAGGCTCTATGCAAGTTTTCCGTATTAAAAAACTAGGAAAAACAACTTTCGTTAGTGCAGACAGGTCGACCGGTTGGGTAGACCGGTCACAGGTCGACCGGTCCGGTCGACCGGTTAGTGAAGACAGGTCAACCGGTGAGTTATAACGTCTCTGTCACCGGTCGACCGGTTGTAACGTAAAATGCATGCTGACGTGGGAAAATTGACTCTAGATGCGATTAGAACTTTGAGAAACCTAATTGTTACGGAAGTATGACTTCTAAAACACTATAAATAGTCTATTAAGTCATATTACTCATTATATTACTTGAGAGTTTCTTTTGGAGGCTATTGATAAAAGATTCCTGAGAGAAAAAATTGTTTAATTCTCAAGAATAATTTTTTCTTTGGCTCTCTTGTGATTGGAAGGAGATCAAGAATACCTAGAGGAGATTAAACGATGTGTGCCCACCCGCACACCGATTGTGGAAACGAGAATAGCAAAGAAGACCAGTTGGTTGAGGCTCTTCCGGTTGCTGTTTGGAACGCTTAGATCTGTCAGACGTGCAGTTTCCTGAAATCTAAAAAATGTATGTTTTAGATTTTTAGTATTTATGTTATATAGCATCATGAACATGTTCTTGTTTAGCTTTGACGTTGATTAAAATTTTTTAAATTTTGCTGCGCATTCGATACCATTAAATTTTCCAACAGTCTCCACTATACGACTTTTTCCTCAGCCTGATCTATTGGGTCGTGGAAACACTTCACCTCTCTTATTATCAATACTCAAAAAGAAAATTCATGCATACCAAAATTTTATGTTGACAACTCTCAACGTAATATTAATGTTCACATCTAGCTAGTAGTCATACTAAAATTGCTGTATTATCTGAGGACAACAATTGTCTTCATTATAACCCTTAAAAATGATTCTCGGAATATCCTGACCTCCAAAACTAGAATGCGTTGTGTAGGGAGTAATGATTTTTTTTTCCTTTTTGTCAGAATAGATTAATTTTAACATACCATTTATACGAAGTAGAAGCCATTTTTTTTTATCTGCGATGAAAAAGAGGCTTTTTCTATCATCTCATTCCCATCCCTTGCCTGATGTCTCTACAGAGAAAATCTAAGGTTCGTTTGGTACGAGAATTTAAACTATAGTGATTCTAATTATGATTCTGGAATCAGAACTATGATTCATGATTTTGGGTTCAAATCATGATTTAAAATCAGGGGTTTGAATTAACTTGAATCAACAAGGGGTGATTTTAGAATCATGAGTGATTCTGGTTTAAAACATCACATCAGATTCTAAAACTAAACACTGATTTAGAATCATGATTTAAAATCATTGTAAACAAACACTGAGTCTGAATCAGAATCTAAAATCATGATTTTAAATCTATCTACCAAACGCCCCCTAATTCTAATCGAAGATGGGAGTCCCAACAGGACGTCAAAGAAAGTATCAAATATTGAACCTATTAATCCAGGAGGAGAAGAAGGAAACATTATATTCTAACCATTGCATTAACACATTGTTAATTTTAACACATCATTTATATGAAGTAGAAGCAAGCGATTTTTTTATCTGCGATAAAAAGAAAATTGTTCTATCATCTCATCCTATCCCTTTCCTCTACAGAGAAAATTTAAGGGTGTGTTCTTTTTACAACTCAAATTTTTTTATGTGAGAAAATATTATAGTAAAAAAGTTGAATTTGAAATTTTATAAAAGAAATACTATAATAAAAAAGTTTGAGTTGTGAAAAGAACAAGGCTTAAATATCCACTGATAGAACGGATAAAAACTTATCTAATTCTATTCAAAGATGGGAGTCCCAACAAGACTTTAAAAAAAGTATCGAACCTTGAATCTGATTAATCTAAGAGGAGAAGAAGGAAACACATTCTAACCATTGCATTAACACGTTGGCGGTAAAGCCGATCACTCGAATAAAACTCATTCCTATTCAATGGCCTTTGAATGGCTCTTCTATGTATAACAAGCAATTCTCTTTTCTCTATTAACTTTGAGAGAAAGTGAGAAATATTGGAAGCAACTGATCATCAGTATGATGTCTGAACGGCATTGTTTGGCTAGTGAAAAATCGAGAAATTCCCTAGCTAGCTATGCTGTCATTATTAAACATGTTTCAATATTATACAATGCAGCTCAATTTAACAAGCTAGCAAAAGGTTTTACAAGTGATCGAGCTAAGCTAATATTCCAACAGGTACCAATAAACAATCCTGACAATAATGTAAATAAAATTATATATTTGAACTTAAATATTGCTCCGTTTGTTTTGAGGGTTCTGGCCTGCTTTAAGATCATGATTCTTAGTTCGTTATAGTATTTTTCTCTCATAAAAAATTTAAATTTCAAAAATCAGACTCATTAACCATAGTTATGAACCCACGAACTAAACGTCACCGTAATGTTTCTAGCTAGTGATCACTATCAGCACAAAACAAGATATATATAAGCTACCAACTGGCCAAAACTTCACTCCATTAATTCCAGAATCTCTCAAAGGAGTCAACAAGCTATGATACAAGCCAAGGAACAAAAACTAGCTGGAAAATTAATTTTTCAAACTAACAGGAACAAGCCAAAAAACTTTGGCACAGATGTATAATAGAAACAAAAGTTCAAAAGGAAATTAACTTCAGTATTAATGTAAATGAAAACTGTTTGCTACTGAGCCTATTGTGTCAGCAGTACATAATGTGTCCTAATTACCACTATTTTGTTAAGAAAGACAAGACGCGATTTTTTGCGTTCAGTTTTATTATTCCATACCTACGCCATACCAAAAGGCAGCTCATTCAGATCAAAATCCAGCAATGTACGACCGCTCTGACCACCTCGAATACCAAATCCTGACGATGACATTGTGATTTCCGGGCTCGAGTGATCGGCTAGTTGAGTTGTTGATCCCGTGATCAAATCGCTAGCATTAGTGGTGCTGATTTCTTTCTCAGCCATTTTCGGAGTAGTACTAATTATCTTCTTGGTGTGAATGGATCTGTGTCCTCCCAAGGCTTGGAATGTAGAGAAAGATTTCTCACAGCTGCTACACTTGTACCAATTAGTAGTAGTAACATTATCAATCTTCTTAGTAGTTTTAGAAGCAGTACTGCCCAGCAAAGAAACGTTTTCGTCCGTTTCAGTACTACTACTACTCTTAAAGTTTCTTTTCTTCTCTCCCAAACACATATTTTTCCCTTTTTTCTCTCTAACATCAGAATCAATAATAATTACCTTCTTACCTTTCATATCCTTTGTGTCTTCCTTTTCTTGGTGATCATAAGTATGACTAATCCTCAACAAAGTACCTTTCCCGGAGACGGATTTAATTTTCAGCTGCTTCGCGATCCGATCCTCGGAGGTGAGTGGCGACGGGTCCGCTATTGACTTCTCGAACTTTCTAGAAGATTCTCGGCCGCGGGACAGGTCAATAAGACCATCAACCGCAGCAGCAACCGCGGAGCTTTTCCTCCCCCTCTTACCGGTCTTGGACCAGCTCCACGGGAAGTGCTCCAACAAATCGACGGGCGATATTTCGATCTCGCTCCAATGATCCTGGTTCCGAGCATCCTCGGATGAAGAACTGCTCATTCGGTTGGGGGGTGGAGCTGCCGGAGGCTGAATGCCCCTCCAAACCCTTTCGGGGTGGGATCTCATGTGCCCCGACAACGACCGCAGCGAAAAAAATGTCTTGTTGCACACGCAACAATATATTGTTTTGTCGTATCGATCTTGATCCTCATCATCATTCCTCATTGCCGTCGTATTCATCGTCGTTGCCGCAGTGAAGGAGCGCTTTCCGCCCCGTGCTTTCGCCTTGAACTTGTCCCCAGTTCTTTGGAAGAAGCTGTGTTTTTCTCCGCGGCGGGAATCCTGCTGCAGGTGATACCTCCAGTGACCTCCAAAAGCCCTACCGGAGCTGAAAACCTTGCCGCAGGCGGGGCATGTGCGAGTGCGGCCTCTTGGTTTCGAAGAGTTTGAGCCCTCTATAAAAAACTTATCCATCAGAAAAACACTGCAAAAAAAAAAACCCAAAAAAAAAAAAAAAAAAAAAAAAAAAAAACCTTGAAAAACAAATCAAAAACCAAGATCATCAATGTTCAAGGAAAAACTTTGAGATACAAGAAAAGCTGCTCATAGAAATGGAATACTACTATACTACCTTTAGCGGATCAAAGAGATGAAATTGTTTTAGGGTTAAATGCCAGAACAAAAGCATAAATGAAATATTACTAGTAAGGAAAAATATATAAACACATAGACATATACATATTTATATATATAAAGAAATATGTTATTGAGAAATTACAGTATAATTTTGGGAAAGAAGATACCAAATAGAGAAAAGGCACTCCAAAGTTGAGCTTTGGTTGGATAGAATTTCGGACTTGAAATTACGAAAATATCTCATGAAAGGAGAGGGAAAAAAATAATAAAAGAGAGAGCAATAAAGTCGTTCTTCATTAAGTTTCCAAAAGTATAACAGATTTTCTATTGTCAATTTACTTTTATTTGTGCAATTAATTCAAGTCAGCCATTGGCAAACCTTTCTTTTCCATATATGGCTAACGGTTTCTATAAGAATGCACTGGTTCTCCGGTGCTTTTCTGGGTAATATTACATGTGTAGAAATATGAGAATCAGATTATATTTTGTGTTATTTTTGTTATAGTTTTTGACTTGCATATGTATATATATGTGTGCGTGTCCTTTCTATGGCCCTCCATATTCTTTTTATGCTTAAATCTTCCATAGGACGATCAGCACAGTTTCTTGTGCCTCCTCGTCTCCTCCATTATCCTTTTTTCTGAACTTCATCTTAAATGTTGCTTAATTACTGTTCAATAAATAATTTATTTCTGCAAGTTCTTTAATGAAAATATGTTAAAACTTTGGTGAAATGGGTAAGTTCCTTCAGTTTTTTTTTTTTTTTTTTGACACTGAAAGAAGGAAAAAGAAAATAGAGATAATTACCTGTTTTAAATCGGTCCGTACAAGGTAAAAGAGAAAATAATACGGGAAATTAAGGTCCGTTTAGTAACGTTTTTAAAATGATTTTGTTTTCAATATAAAAGTAAAAATGAAATTATTTTAAGGATCATTCTTGGACAGGTTCTGAAATTACGTTTGATTGATTTTTTAAGAGATTATTTTGAGTATAAAAAAAGTAAAATTGTGTTTGGTTATAATTATTAATTTATATATTATAAAATTGTTGATAAACACTAGAAAATGAAACAAAAAAGGAAAAATAACTTTTAATCGTTTTCTAATTCCTTCAAAAAAATCACTCACTTTTTTTTTTGTTTTTGTTTTCAAAACATTTACTAAATAAACACGGTTTGCAAACCGTTTTCATTTTCGTGCCTCAAAAAACATGCATAAACATTTTAAAAAACAAGCAAAAATTAATTCTAAATGCACCCACATGTAGACTTCTTAGATTTTTAATAAAAATGCAGACACACTTTCCTTTAGGATTTAGAGCACCTATCCAAGTTTTAATGTCTCAAATAGTAGTTAACCAATTACATATTTCCCTCTTATTTATTGAACAATAATATATGAAAGATAAATGTTATCATCACTCTTTTTGTCATTCTCTACATTTAGTATTTGATATGTGGACTCAACTAGCATGATATATTATTATTCAAACATAAAATGTGATAGTAGAGTCCACGTGTCAAACGGTGAATATAGAGATTGACAAAAAAAAAGTGATGTGTTAGTGGAGTCCACGTGTCTAATTATGACTGTAAAGAGTGATAGAAAGAGTAACCTTAGAATTTCTCATGAAAAGATATATACATGGTAAAATTTAGACTCAGTAAAAAAATATGGTACCAGCGCCATTTTTTCTTTTAAAAGGAAAGTATATTTGATAGTAGGAATGGCGTGTTATTCTTTTTCTTTTATTAACAATTTCTACTCTCTTTATGAATTTTGAAAGTTTAGAATTATCCTAAATTGTTCTAATCTCATCCTTATCTAGTTCTCTTTTACAAGTTTTTTTTTTTTTTTTTTGAGAATGAGGCAAATAACATGTTTGTCTTAAATGTCGCATGTACGATACGTGTAACTTTCTTTTTTATAGCCGTGTAAAATCGTTCATTTATGTGAATAATATTTAATTTACTATATCGTAACATTCAATAAATATAATTCAATACAAGTAACATGAATGTCACACGATCATAAGGAAAAAAAAACATACATGTATAATGACGATGTTACACATAGATATGAAAAAGAAATTACAATTGTCAGACTGTTCGATCATCAGATTTAAGACTTTGCCTAAAAATTAATAATAGGAATTTGGAGAAACAGAAATTAATAGCATATTTCATACTAAATTTTTCAAAATTCCAAAAATTCCCCTCCTCTACTCTTCTCTCTTGCGTGACTTTCTCCCCACTAATGGATCTGATGGCGACATCGTATTATTCTCTGACCGCAGGATGCAGCAGGGACAACAAAGATGGGTAGATCCAGGGTTAGCTTTGATTTAAGAGTTAGGGTTTCAAATTAGGAATCCTTTTCAATTTAGGGCTTAGGATTTGAAATTAAAAGTCATATCTAAATCTAGAACTAACCCTGCAATTATACTATACCGCCACCGCCAGAAGAATCGCGGAGGAGAAGAAGACCATTTTGCTAAGCTTGCTCTCCTGGCGTCGATGAGCAAAAACATCATGAGGAGACAACTAAGGTCTCATTCATTTCACTGATTCGAGTTTTCAATTCTAAGTTTCTACAGTTAAAAGCTCTTAGAAAATGTTACAATCTAACTTTTTCTGCTACAGATAAAAACTTTCAGAAAATATTACATCTCAACTCGAATTGAAAACTCGAATTCGTAAAGTGAACTAGACCTAAACTATTAGAAGAGAAGATAAACTATTTTAAGATTATGCAATTTACTAATTAGTGAAAATAATTACATTTTTCACTACCTTAAGCTTATTAATCTGCTATATAAAACATAATCTATTTTTTGTTAGAAAATTCTTGCGCATCCAGGAGAATATTAAGTTGGCATGTTCTTTTACGCGTGGGTTTTTTAAAGTAACCATTATTTATACAACTTTTTTTTTTTCATTCAATTTATAAGAGCATTAACAACTCTTTTCTCTAATTTATTTTTACAAGAACAATTTTATCGACTGTTCACTCTATTTTTTCCGATATATTTAGCGGACAGGCACAAAATCACACCAAAGGCATTGGAAGACTTGTTTTTTTATTAGATTGAGCCAATTTTTCTAGCATGAAGCCTCGCAATGCATTGAGCTTGGATTTAGTTTAAAATTGGGCTAGTAATATAGGCTACAACAAGACGACACAACACGGTTTTTTGTGGGTTAATTTAAAAAAAAAATTTCTTTTAATGTCAATTTGAAATTGATCCATTAAAAAATAGGTCGTGTTTATGTCAACTTGCGTGACACTAAATTAATGACCTGCTCGATTATTCTATTATTCTTAAAATATTCTTTCCTACTAATTTGGTTGGATGTGTTTTAAGTTTTTAGGACTTAGTTGTTTTGATATGGAACTAATTTGATTTTGAGGAAATATGTGTTTTATGTTATTTTAATATAATTTTAGTGTGTAAATTGTACATTTAAACTAAGAAACATCATTGGCCATTTGCAAATAGCGAGTTAATTTCTGGTTCAGTGCATTGCGGATTGATTATGAATTGCATGTCATAAAGATAACAAGTTCATGTTGGTCGTGTTACTGTCAATCCATGTCACGGCAGGTCGTGTTATGGTTGAAATTTTTCAACCCGTTCGGGTCACAAATTGTGTTGGAATTGTGATCATTTTTGTAAATGTTGACTCTCAATTCAAGATTAATACGACCCTCTAACATGAGTTGTTACCCTTAGTTTAAATGTTTTGAATGCGTTGAATACCATCGATTAGACCAATGTAGATAGGGGAAGTGATTATGATGATAGAAAGTCACAAATAAATTATTGTGTCTTCTTTAGTGGAAACTTGGTCTTTAATTGGTGCTCGAACAAGCAAAGTGTTATGGCAAAACCTTATACAGACTCAAGAGTATAGGGCATTGGTCTAATCATTACTGAGGTGGTGTGGTTGCATTCCTTGATTAAGAGCTCGTTTGTTTCAAAGTTTGAACAATAATTTCTCTTACAAAATATATTATTTCTATTTAAATTTTCCACTCAAACCGATAAACCAAGCCATAAAATTCCTCGTGCACCTATAATTTGGATAATAACATGGGTGTAACAACACTAGCCACTAATCTTGTCTCTTAAGAAAGAACAAGACATATCGAAATGGTTAATTTCTTCAGAGAAAGATAGTTCAAGGTGTACTAGAAGTCTCATTTGTTCTGAAAGTGGATCGAATCGATGATATTCTAACCAAATCCTTATCCAATACACAATTTTAGTACTTGAGAAATAATCAAACCATAAGTTGAATGTCGCTTCGCTTGAAGGGAACATATTGCAACAAAATTCGAGCATGAAGGCACCACACTTGATCCTTTCTTTCAGCCATTTTCATAATATGCAACAAAGGAAAATGCCTTCATCACTGTTGAGGCTAGATTTCTTACATATCTCTCACCATACACATGTCAACACACATCTCAAAGAATGATAATTAATTATGGAATCAACGTTTGGAATGAGTCGTGAGCTACCGATAGCTCGAGGGTTGAGAGTCATTGGACGACCAGCTCATTTGATGAGCTATCTGTCAAGCTTATTGCCTTACGATTCAAGCTTCAAATATTAGATAATCTTCCCAAGATTATTTCCATGATTATCTTCTCATAATCGGTAAATATCACAATTAAGGAGGATAAGTGCAACAGAAAAGGGGATTGATTTATCTCTAAATCATTCATTCAAATGAGTAAATTTACAAGATCTTCATTCAAATGACCAGCTCAAGCCTATAAAAAGGTATCAAGATATGCCCAAAAGGAGAATTTTCACACATTCTTCACCTCCTTCATACCTACGTAAACGCTCTAGCCACAATATTTACGTTTCACCAAGCTTCATGCATTTCAAGGAATTCTAACATCATTTTACGGAGAATAAGCTTATGTCCCGTTCATTTCACCGATTCGAATTTAGAATTCGAGTTTTGCTACAGTAAAAAGCTTTCATAAACAGTCGCATCTTACTTTTTTACTACAGTAAGAAGCCCTCACATAAAATCACATCTCAATTCGAATTAGCGAACTAAACGGGCTCTTAATCTTTTTCGGGAATCCATATCTTCTCTGTTATTCACCAAATTTCTCCTCTTCTTTCTTTCTCTTCTTGCTCTCGTAACTATTGTAACTTTATCATTGATGATAATAGAAGACCCAAAAACCCTATAGAGGAGACCTAAGGACCCTACAGAGCATGCAACTCCCATTAACTTGGCGGGCCAAAGGACTTTACAGTGCATGAGTTGGTAATTTCTCATCCATATTTTTCTTGGTAGGATTAATTTATTCAGACCTAAATTGCAATATAAGTAGAGCTCATGTATTAGATGATCCGTTTGTGGTCTCGTTACATAAAAGTTTCCTTTCATGTTGCAAATGTACATATAGAATAAAAATATTCTTTAACATTAACAAATTTATTGCGTGCAAATATAATCACTCATAGTAAATTTTAGAAAAAAATTTTAAATTCATTGAAATAAATGGCATATGCACAAGTAAATGTATATTTACCCAACGTAAATACCATATTCACGGGGTAAACATAATATTTACATCGGGTAATGAATATTTACCATTAAATATGTTATTTATTCACTCAATTCAAAAATATGTAATTACTTAAAAACTCTTTAAAAAATATGTTGTTTACTATAATTACTGTTTGTTTTTTATATAAAAACAAAAGGGAACACAAAAATAATTGGAATATATTTTGGGTAAACAATCTTCAAAGAGACTTTAGATAAAATATTTTTGTAGAAACCTATTTTCGGTTTTGGTGCTTTTGTCTCAAAAACTTCAGATGACTGATAAGTTATGCCTTAAATTTTTTATTGGGATAAATTTATTAAATGTGTCAAAAAAATTGTCAAATTCAAACACGATACATTTACTATACAGGTTGATATGACTAACTCACATAACTCATTTAAATAGGTATGATAAATATAAATTTACATAACTATGACTCATTTAATACGATACATTATGTGATATGTTTACGTACATAAACTGATATTTAAAAATAAAATAAAATATAGTCCTTAAATTTATAATTCATACTGTTTTATTGTTTTTATTTAATAAATCGTATAAATTTTCATTATGATATAAATTTAGATTGAAATTATATATATAATTAACTATGATAATTTAGATTATTAGACTGAGCAATTTAAATACGATTCATTTATTAAATAATAAGATTTTAATTAAAAAAATAAAACATGTGTCTTTTAAGTTTCGAGTTGTGCCGTGGTTCATGACCCAAATTGTCTTAGTTGGGCTTCTTACAAAAAGTCAATCCAAAGGCATTCCCTCTACCATTCTCGTTACATCTACACTCAAGGTTGAACAAAACACGTGAGAGTACAAAATCTTAGACCAAGCTAATCCTTTTTCTATTTTATTTTTATTTTTATTTTTTTTCCGCTCAAATAGTGAGTTTTCCATTTTCAATCCCGGAGGCTCTACTATCTTCATAGTTTATTAGCTCCCACTTCCGTCTCTGCACTGCAATTTTGACCACCTTCTCCACCACCTCTTTTTTGGTTGAAAAACAACCTTCTCTTCATTGTAAGTTGACAACTATGGCTTCCTCTCACATTCTCTGCCATAACAACGTCTTCAATCTTCCTCAAAATTCCTCGAGAAAAAGTAGCCTCTCGTCATTTAGCTCACACGGGTCTTGTTCTTTTGGCTCCAAGCCTAGATTTGCAGAAACCCAGTTCCTAAAACTCTTGGTTTCTGCCAAAAGACAAGTGGAGGTTGGATTGTAATTTCACTTATTTCTTTGACTCTTTGAATTCAAAAGGTTTTGAGCTTTCTCTGTATGTAGATTTATTTCCATCTCTAATTGTTTGGTTTTGGGGATTTTAGATAGTGTATGACCCTGATGAGAGGATTAACAAGTGGGCTGATGAGGTGGACAAGCAAGCGCCTCTTTCAAGGCTCACTTTGTTCTCACCTTGCAAGGTAATCATTCTATAGAATCTAGTTTGACTTTCTCACAAATGGGTTTTTTTTTATTATTATTATTTATAAATTTTGGTGATGGAGATGATTTGTTGTGTTTTCTTTTTTATGGATGCAGATTAATGTTTTCCTGAGAATAACTAACAAAAGGGAAGATGGGTATCATGATTTGGCGTCTCTCTTTCATGTAAGTTGTTGGAGTACCCCGTGTGTGTGAAAATGCGTTGTAAATTGGTGTATATGAGTTGTAAAGTAGCTGATACAGTTTCTGCATATGGCAGTAGGAGTAGTTTCCTTATTCAGAATTCTAAAGTCAACTTGTATTGTTCTTTAAGTTTTTGTAATTTACCTGCATTGATGAATGAATTAAGAATGAGGTCATGTGTAATGTGTAAAGGCAAAATAAATCAGAGTCCCAAATCATTTGAATATAAAAATAAGCGTAAACTTATAAAGACATTGAGTCACCCAGTTAAAAGATTAGAAAGCTCAATAATGAATTCATCAACATGTTAAACAATATCAAAGCAGAAGGTTTTGATTTCAAATCCTGTCACATGGCTTTTTGGGCTTATAATTAATATTTACTGACACAATTGTCCAGTGTCTAGCCTACATGAAAGGGAGTGTTTGAATATAGAAATTATTGTTGGTTCACTTTCTATTAGCTTAAGCTTTTGGGAGAATTGGTTACAAAAATAAGTTTTTTTCAAAGTCCTTACTTTCTTCATAATTTTGTTTAAGCCCTCCTGATAACGTGTAAACTTCAAGTGAAATCTCGAAGGTCAGAATATTATGCAGTTGTATCTCTTGCTGTTAGGTTGGTTCTCAATCACCATAAGTCGGCTCCCACTCTGACCCTTTTCTTGCCTTTAGGTGATAAGCCTTGGAGATGTACTCAAGTTCTCTTTGTCTCCATCTAAAACAAAGGATTCTCTGTCAACCAATGCCCCGGGGGTACCTCTTGATGATAGAAATTTGGTAAGGAATGAAAGTTCATTCACTTTTTCTTTATTTCCTGATGATTCCAAGTCAATTGGAGATATTGCTTCTGCAGATTATCAAGGCCCTTAATCTTTATAGGAAGAAAACTGGTACAGACAACTACTTTTGGGTAAGAAGGTGGCCCCTATATGATTTTACATATCTTCCATTTTTTCCATTGAAGAAGCTGCACTGATCTACTATATATTGCTTCGCTTGAAAATTTGAGCAGATTCATCTTGACAAAAAGGTGCCCACTGGAGCTGGTCTTGGTGGTGGAAGCAGCAATGCTGCAACCGCCCTATGGGCTGCAAATCAGTTCAGTGGTGGTCTTGCTACTGAGAAGGAACTCCAGGAATGGTCGAGTGAGATTGGTTCAGATATTCCTTTCTTCTTCTCCCAAGGAGCAGCCTATTGTACCGGTCGAGGTGAGGTAAGTGTTTACCTTACTCAATGCACTATCTTAATCCTTTTTTTTTCCTTTGACTGTGTTTCATCAGTATGTAATTTCACAAGATGTTGCTGGAAAGATTTTAATGATTTGACCATTGTCCGAAATGGGAAAGCCCCTAACAGATTCAACAAAGTCAAAGGCACTGCTACATGACTTGATCGGAGATTAGCTCAAAATCCAATTACTGATTTGCTTATATTTTCATTCTTGAAGCAAGTAGAAATGCACTTAAGATCTTTTGGTAAGAATAGGATGGACCCAGTATAGAACTTTGATCCAACGGAGTATTTCTTACATATGAGGGCAGCACTGTTTTCTGTTTCAATTTCTTTTATCTTATAGTATCACCTTTTAATATTTCTAAAGCATGCACAAGTTCACATTGTCTGATATAGGTTAGGCTATGAATCGTTCTTTGGAATTAGATTTGTCATTTCTTATATCCCTCATACCAGCCTAACTGGCTATGTTGTCTCATCTAGCAAGCAGCAGAGATCGCAAAATCCTTTTCATAGACACGATATGATTGAAAAAGAAAATAGAAAACATGCAAACAGACACAAATATGACTATACTAGTTCATGTATAAATGTCTAGCTGTAAGGGAACCCGTATATTGCATTGCGGAACTTGCCGACTTTGAGTTTGTAAACTTTGACACAAACTTTGAGAGTACAGGCTTGATATTTTCTCTTGTTGTCCAGGTTGTCCAGGATATCCTTCCACCAGTACCTTTAGATATTCCAATGTCTCTCATAAAGCCGCAAGAGGCATGTTCGACAGCTGAAGTTTATAAGGTAAAGCTGTTTCAGGATAGTGCACACACCATTATCCCCGACCTTTTTTCACTAATCATCTTTTAAACGACTATTTGTGTCTCAGCGCCTTCGGTTGGATAAAACTAGTAATGTCGATCCATTACAATTGCTAGATAAGATATCAAGTGATGGAATAAGTCAAGACGTTTGCATCAATGACTTGGGTATGTATCCGTGTAGAAAATTGGGATTGGAAAGACCTATTTATTGCTCCACCTTATCTTTTTGATTTATTTTCTTTCCTTCCTTTCCTTTCTTCTGTATTTCTCTATATCAGTTATTTCATTCACCCCATTCCAGGCTTCTTGCATAGTTATACGGGCCTCATATTTCGCGTTCTAACAAAATCTATGCCCCCGTTTGGTTCGCTAGTTTGAATTTTGTTGATTTGAACAGAAAAATTCAAATTGTGTGGTTTAAATTGTAGTTTGATTGTGTAGTTAAAGTTTTAATTTGAACAGGGAATACAACTCGAATTTGTGTTTGGTATGTGTGAAAGTAGAGAGAGTGGGCACCTTTTTACTGTTCAAAAATGGTTTGAATGGTTGAACTTGAGGGGGGAGCTAAACTCTAAGTTGGACCGTTCAACTCAGTTTAAACGGGAAATATAATTCAAATTGCCTACTTACCAAACATCAGTTCAAATTGTGCTCACCGTTCAAATTGAGTTAAACTGAACTAACCTAATGAAACAAACGGGGGTTATTTGTGTTTAGAATTCACTGCTCAGATTTTTTTAACCAAACTCACTTCATACTGGTTCACAATTTAAGTATATTACTTCACCAAGATGGTAATGGTGAGCCACAGGGGTCAGACATGTTTGCAACTGTCACCGGCCAACTTATCTCGGATTTCCTTGTTTTACACATATCGTTTTTGTATTATTTGCAGAACCTCCTGCCTTCGAAGTTCTTCCATCTCTTAAAAGATTGAAGCAACGTATAATTGCAGCTGGCCGAGGACAATATGATGCTGTTTTTATGTCTGGGAGGTATAAACTGGAATGCCTTCTCAAATTCGTTCTTCATTTTTTCTCGTATGTAATACTATAGAAATTTTGAACTTTCATTTGTATGGAGCACATTGGGTAGCACAGTACTAGCACATATTCTTAAGTAATCCAACTCCGTCATCATAGTTAGGAGAAAACCAAACACTTTGGATAGTCTTTCTCTTTGTCAGCCCTCAATATTCTCTAACATCCAGTTTGAACCAAACTGCAGTTTCTTAAGGTTTCATTGACATCCTAGGTCTTTACCCGAAAGGAATAGGCTGGGCGGGATAAAATATGAGCTTCATTTTTTAATATGACAAGCCTTCTAGGACTTAGGCAAAGACCATCCATTACATGCACATATGGACCCAACAGATGAGAATACGTCTAAACCAAAATAAAGGTATTTTCAAATTTGTGGTGGTTGGTATGTCCGGAAAAAAGCTAGATGTTTTGGTAGCCTATCCAGGACGAGTGAGATGGTGAACTGTTGTTCTTACCATTTCATCATTCCATTTGCTAAGCATTCTCAATTCTGAAACTCCTAGAGCATGATCATATCCCTATGCAACTCGGTTAACGTCGAGCCTCACTAACCAATCTTGGGAATTCAAAACTCAAACTGATAAATATAGTGAGTTTAAGGTTCATTTTTTAAGTGATGTAGAAAAACAGAAATGTCTCTTCTGTTGATATAAACTCCAGATAAATCTAAATTACATAGAGTTTACAGTAATATTGAGAAAAGATGCTTGCATCAATTCATGGGATATTGTCATTTAATTTCATTATATTCTTACAATTAAGTGTTCTACATTTTCTCAATAATGGATGCTGCAGTGGAAGCACTATTGTTGGGATTGGTTCTCCGGACCCACCGCAATTCATCTACGATGATGAAGAATACAAGGATGTGTTTTTGTCAGGTCAGTCCCATGTCGTTATGTCTGTTGCTCAACCACTTGATTGCGTCAGAAACTTGTTTTGCTTTTTCTTCAATCAGTTGAGGACAACTATATAATGTTGGAAGTTCATGAGCCATATGTATGCACAAATTTTCTTTTTATCTATATTTCTGTTTGATATATCCTAATATGAATGTGGCTGGTGAGCAGTATTTATTGTATAATCAAGGTTTTTTTTAAGTGAATTTGATAACTATAAGGTGGTGTGAGCTTACAGATGAAAATTAAAAAGGCTTAAGATTAATTAGCTAACTTACCAATTAAACATGAAGGGGTTCGTTTTAAATGCAAAATATCAAGTTCCAAAAGCCCCTGTTTTTAGTTGTTAACTCACAAGGCTATGAATCAAATGCGGTAGCATTGTTGATCCTATATGATTTTACTATTATGAAACATGTACAATCTTAAGGAAACATGAACTATTGGTTTGGTTTTTCTGGCTACTGATTAATTATCTCAACATTTGTATTGCAATTTCTAGTGATTCTTGACTTTTTTTCTTTTTGTTTGGGATAATGTGCAGAGGCTAACTTTCTCACTCGTGAAGCAAATCAATGGTACAAAGAACCTGCTTCGGCAAGCGCCACTTGCAGCCCTCCGAACGACTTCTCTCATGATTTTTCGCAGTCAATTGAGTGATGTACCAGCACAAAAACTAGCTTTTGTATCAAATTTGTTGATGTCCAGCTTTAGGTTTTGCAATCCTTTGTGGCTGTAAATATTTCCTGATGAGAGAAGGAAAGAATGGGGAGGAATGGAAATAAAAGTTGCAGCTCATTGGAGCAAGACAGGAATAACATCACAAAATAAATGAAGTAAAAAAAAGTTTTTTCTTCCATTTTTAAATCATGCATTTTGTGATTATCAAAAAAGCATAGCATGTATTTTGAAAGGCATCACTTTTTGCTCCTTACAATGTGAAATTATACTCGTCCCGACCTTTTCTTGATCAAATATCTATTTTGACTGAAGATTTAGACACAAACGGAGAAAAGAACAAAAAATCAAAATAATTTTATTTTAAAGACTTTTTTGTGCTCCCCCGACACTTTTATGGGGGAGATTTTCCCGTCGTAACCAGTTGAAGAATTGATGTAATTATCTTATATGATGTCGTAATAGTTACTATTTTAGGAACTAAAATGGTAATAAATTGTCATGCACTGTTCCAAACAAATATTCATACAAGACTGGATGTGCCTATCAGAAAAGAAACATGACAGATGTAATCGTTTCACGATAATATTATTTATGTTTAAAAAAAGACAGTTGAAATGGAATTACTGATATTAATGGTAAAAGACAGATGTGCATATTATTATTATTCATATTAGAAACTACAATCGTTTATCGATATATGATAGTCGTTTATTAATGTGTCTTTTAATATTATTCATATAATTATTCATAATATGTATGCATGACAATTGTTTATTGCCAATATACCTAAAACAACTTATGATTTTCAAAATAGTAACTGTTACGATTTAATACAAAAGAATTACGCTAGTCTTTCAACCTGTAACGATGGCACATAAGGGACAAGTCTCACATTTTTAAATTGGGAGACTGTAGACAAGTCCTATTTGAAAACACCATCTGCGACTTACAGGGGTGGCCTTGACTATCCCTTGCCTTGTAGTCCACCGGATCGTGATGGGGTCAGTTGAGATGAATGGTATGCGTCAATAGAAGCAGTACGCAAAGATACCCCTTGTCCAAAGATGAAAATATCAATATCGGTAAAAATATCGATACTCTAAATTTAGAGAAATTTCAGGAAAAATATAGATATCAATTAAATATCGGAAAAAAATTATGGACACTAGGAAGATTTATTTTTACACTTAATTATTTTTTTGATGTCTTATAATAAAATGATAAACATAAAAAAGATGCATAAATAAGTAAATTTACCAAAATAATACACTAGAAAGTCTACAATGCTAATATTTTTACCGATATTTTTCCAAAAACTTGCGAAATTTCTCCGATTTTTCCACTGGAATTTCATAATTTTTAACAACCCAAAATATTTTTAGGAATAAAAAAATTTCTCCCAAAATTTTTGGTAAATCTGGATAAATATCAGAAAATTTTTTGCACTTAAAAATATTTCGGGAGCTTAGAGTTACAGAAACCTCGGTGGAAATTTCAGAAATATCGGAGAAATTTAGTGTCTTCCCAGAGAGGAAGGTCGTAGTGCAAGGAAGTCCTCGTCAATGTCAAGACCAAGAACAAGGTCCACCAGTGGTTATGGAGGTTGTCGAAGCTCAGCGTTCCCGTCCTTGTCAAGGATTTCCTTGACTCCGAGGGCTTTGCTTAGAGCAATTGCGAAAAGATTTCAAGCTCCTGGTAATTAAGCATTGACCAAGATCATTTCCTGCAATTTCCGAATGTCTTTTCGAACATTGCTAGTTCAATAACTCAAAGTTAGAGTACGGATTCGTTTTCTGCTTAATGCTTATTTTGCTGCTTACAGTTTCTTCCATTGGGCTAGGCTCTGTATCGACATTCGGAAAATGACTTCTTATGATTAAACAAATCCTTGGGTTTGCCTCATTGTATCAGTTCAGAATTTCACTCTTTCCGCTTGATTAATTATGGTGATGAGCTCCCTCTCTCTCCTCTCTTTTCCTAACTCAAGCGAGAGAGAGAAGGAAAACAAAAAAGTGATGAAGAAAAAGAAAAAAAAAGTGATGAAGAAAAAGAAAAAGAAAAAAAAAAGTGATGCAACAAGAGACAAAGGATAAAGCAAAGGACTTTCAGATGCTTTTTCACTGAAGGTTATGCACCAACAACACTGAAGCATCCATATATGAACCAACACCAACACCAAATCCACGCACATCTTTGGGGTCTTTTTTTTCTTTTTTTTTTTTATTTATTCATTGAAATATTTTCCACGCTTAAAGAGAAGGAGAAGAAACAAACTGTCTGGGTAAGCTAAAAAGATCCTCCCCTTCAAATGGAGATGTCCAGTCCCGAGATCCGGCAGCCGATGTTTCAGAACTAGTAGCTACACCATCCTGCAATCCCGTTATGGAAACACCATTCACATTGGAGGAAGACGACCTCATTGCGGGCTGAGCAGCCACCCCGGAAGTTTTTGAATCGTAGATGTTGGCACTGTTCTTCATATAGGAGGCAACCCCTAGCAACAGTCCATTAGGCCTTGACGTGGACAACCCTCTATCCAAGGTCCAATCGATGCTGTTGTAATCTAAATGCAGCATTGAGCCACCGGTATTCCAGTCTACAGGAGAAGATGCGCCTGATGAGCCAGCTGAACCCAACCCAGAGAATAGCCCAAGGGAAGAAGCAGCAGCCAGAGTTGGAGATGCACCTGTTCTACTCCATAAACCATTCACGCGGCTTGTTAAGGAGGATTCCCCGGGGCCGCTGCCCGGAACAAGCTGTGGCTGTTGTTGATATTGAAACTGGTGATACATCTGATTTGAGCTCAGCTTGTTAGGGCTGAGGCTTGTGCTGCTACTAGGAATATGGGGCACAAAGCCACTAGACCTCATAACTTCTACACTGCTCGTAGGATACCAACTGGCGGCTATGCCAGGAAGCGACGAGCTCATACTAGCCTGAACCTGCTTTGTATTTAGGGATTGAGGGCGCTGCATCATAATAACTGGCTCCCTCACTGCCCCTGCCTGTAGGTTTTTTACATCATTTCCAACAGTTACATACCGGGTTTCTGCCTTGGCTGGTGAAGACGAAACCTGCAATGGTGATGCCAAAGAATAGGAAACAGAAGGATTTGACCCTGCATTTGGCCACCTTTTGTCACCAGGCATCGCTGCTTGTTGGGATTTTGCCCATTCCAACTTTGGCTGAACTCTCTTCAAAGGCTGCAAATTTTTGCTTGCAGATTCTGAAGATCCTAACACTGTAACAGTTTGCTTTGTGTAGTTGAAATCTCTTTCGTCTTTTCTTTGTTGTATTGTAGGAGGAAGAGATTTTGCTTGAGGCCTCAAATTCTGACTCGCTGCAAGTGAAAGCTTACCATTAGCAACGGTTGGAGGATCACCAGTTTCTTCTGGCTTAGGTGGTGCGGAAGGAGGCTCTAGCTTCATTGCTTTTAAGCTTTCTGCTGCTTTATCAAGATCACCTTCACAGGTCACAACAGCTCTTTCAACCTCCTGCTTTGAGAACTTATACCTTGTTTCCATATCTGCAATCCGAGCAAGCTCTTCTGATATGTCAATTTTCAGATTACTCTCACCAAGGTTTTGATCCCTGAACTTATCAGCTTCTTCACCACCTTCAAAAAGCCATGCAACCGATTCTTCTACTCTACCTTCATTCAGTATAAGAGCCATTGTTGCACGTTCTTGAGAAAAACCCATTGCCACGAACTGTTGAGCTAGTGCTTCAAGCTTTCTTGACATAAGATAGCCACTGCACCGTTCATGCAATTCTTGAGCTCGCCGCTCCTTCTGACGCTGATGCTTTTTCTCATTTTTTTGGCGTATTTTTTCCCGTTTGTCATTGTCAGCACCTGGTATTGTTTCCTGGCGGACTGGAAGATTAGAGGTCTTCTCTTTATGATCTTCAGATTCGCCAGACCAGCTGCCATTGTTGGAAACAGAATCATACTCAGCCCCAGCTGCAAGTGTGCTCCCTGAGTGCTCATCTGACTCATCAATGTTTTGAAAGCGACCGTTAGTCTGAAGAGATGATGCAGGGGATGTTGGTGACAATTCAAGAGTATGAAATGTTCCCAAGACTGGATTGTATGCACTAGCTGGAATACCACTGCCAGCACTAGCTGGTACTGAAGCTTTTGAAGAAGCCTTTTGAGACTCCTTGGTAGCCTTTTTGTCTTTCGATTTGGATCTTGACGCTGGAGACATCTTCAAAAGCAACCACGTTCCTGCACTTTTATGGCAGTTGATTCACTTCAGAATGATGCTTAATAAAATAGTATTTGCTCTAAACTTTAGTATTTTAAGACCACACCATCACGTTATGCCACCAAAAAAAAAAAAAAGGAGCAAGAAAACTCGTAATGACCTTAGAGAAACGTGTGCAAAACATGCATAAGGATATATATATATATATATATATATATATGCAAGATTACCAGTTAGAGTTAAAATTTCTCACAAACTAATAGAGCATTTTCTGACTAAAAGCACAGTTGAAAATGGATAAACTGAAACGATCTTTAAGATGATACTAGAAGGAAAGCACAATAAAAAAGATATGATTGAATGGAACATTAACGACACTTATCCAAATAATATACGTATTGTTCAACGAACCCCGACCAGTTAAAACTTATTTTCCCTTGTGCTTGCATGGCACAATAACGACACTTTAAAGATATGATTGCAACAGCTCAGAAATGATTCCCTTTTTACAATGGTAGATTAAACAAGTACATCTATAAATGACCATAAACACACAAGTTCTCACGTTAAGAAATTCAGAAGTTTTCTGCTTGTGGAGCATGCTATCATCCTTGAAGTCAAAACACAGGAATTTACCTAAAGCTATTAGATATCATTAATCTGTTAATATGAGAGTATCAATTGATTCCTATAGCAGCTTTCTGCTGTGAAGAAATTCGGCAAGTATAAACTTCTTCAACAAGGTCATAAATACTGTGTTCCTTCAAGTAAATAAAGAAGATGCTATCAAAACCATTAAAAGCAAATAAAATTACCAACAGCACATGGAGAGGGTAGAAAAAGCACAGGAACGAAGACAAATAAATACAACAATAAAGATAGAACAACCATATCCTAATCCTATCAAACTATGGATATTGACTTAGCATCCTAGGACGCAGTGCCTGTGAATTCTATCTGACCAAAGAATACAAAAAAAACCTTTTCTAAGAATAAAATATTGACAAATAGAAAAATTTCAGGGTAAAAAGTTTTCAGAAGGGTGAACTTTTTCCAACAATATTTTTTTGTATCATCAAAGAGGAGCAGATGTTCACAGAAACCCCAGCTCATTGCAAACCCTCCAGCCACTAAGACACTCGAAACCCCACCCAAAAATGCTCTCAAATTTTTGCATGCCAATCTGAAATGGGAGGACAAGCCAAACCCGAATGATAACCCAGTACTGTAACTTGTAGGCACCAACGAACTCCAACAAACAGAACAAGCAAACAACAATAAGTTGACCCAACGACACAATTCCATTTATTTTCTACTCTTTTGGAATCCAACCAAGACCTAATCTATAGACCTACAAAATTCCATGCACGCACCAACTCTGGGTGCATGGTAAAAGTATAAAGTACAGCAATTACGTAGGTAATGCACATGCTACATCAAAACAAGACCCTAATAAAACAGGTTTTGTACACGAGTAAAGTCAACTACTTTCGCATTGGATTCTACATAAAAGCTATAGCTCCTTATCCCCCATGCCAAATCAAACAGAGAATTGAATAAAATGAAAGCTGCAAACTGCACCAATGTAAATATTCACCGTTCAGCACAACAAACAACAGTGGATAGTCCTAATAATTAACTAAAAACAACATTTTGATTGCAAGAACCTAAATTAAACCTCAGTTTTATGTTTCAAACAGAATACTATGGACCCGTAAGTGATATTTCAAATACAAGTCTCTGGTTATTTACGTATGTGCTTAAATGCAAAATACACTTAACGTGGAAGCATCATCGAGCTCACAGGAAAAGAGCCCTCTGCAATCAGTGTATGTTATGATGCCGAACTCGGATACGAGCGGCACAAACACCCAATGCACAGACAGTTAAGTGTTCACTCAGGACAGAGATCAAGCTCTGCCCTCTATATAATGGCAGCAAAAGTTTCCAACTTTGCGTCTTCGGGTATCAGTCAGCCTACTCTCGTATAAGGAAATGAATTCTCCTTTCCTTCCATTAATGCAAAAAATGAGAAGTAACTCTTGGCAACACTAGAAACCATTTTCCGATCATCAAGAAACCAGGCAATAGCCATTTGTTCTATCCAAGTCCTCTCCAAAAATTCCATAAAACCAGCCAATCACGGATCAAAAAACAACAAACGCTTTCCGAGACCTCAAAGCCCCAAAATTGACAGCTTCCCGTAGAATTCGTCGCCGGCGAGAAACTAACGACGACGTAGCAGTGTGGATCACAGCACAACAGTCGCCCAAAGATCCGACAATCGCCACGAAAACCAAATCGCACAAACAAAAACACAAATTCCACAATCACCCAATTTCCCCCCACCCATTTCGAACCAAACCCACCACGGAATCCGCCGAAGCCATTCGGACCCTCAATTGACCAAAGGAGCGATTTCAACGCGACATAACCACCGCGAAAATGTATTATATGTGTTTGATTTCAAAGGAAATGAATCGAACATAGAGACAACCATTACCGATCACAGAGAAACACGGAGAAAGAGAAACTGACCTGTAAATGCAGAGGCAGAAAATCGTCGGAAGAATCGCAGCGGAATGGGAATCGTCAAGAGAAATGGAAGGGCGAGGAGAGAGAAAGCGATGTGCTATCGAGGCTGAAACTGAATCGGAGAGATGGAATTAGGGTTTTGAAAGATAGAGAAAGAGACAGAGAGAGAAAGAGACGGACAGAGAGAAGAGAGATTTGATAAATAAATAAAATAAAAATAAAGTCGAAATTCTATGAACGAAAGGATAGTAGATTGCCTTGTCTCCTATATTTTTTTTATTTTTTGAGAAAAATTTTGTTTTTTAATTTCTTTTTATTGAATTTTTCTTTTCTTTTTGTCGATTTTCCTTATTTTAAAATATTTTTTAACCGTTTACAGTTTATATATACCTGTCGGCTGTTCATCTTATTACACTCACATGTGGCTTCCGACAATTATTTTCAAAGAAAACGGAAAAAAAAAATTTAATTGTAATACGGATCTGTAAAACAAAAAAAACGACAACAAACAAACGCAGGAAGGCCGTGCTTAGGTGGGAGTTAGAGACGTTTCTTTTTAACCGTTAAAAAAAAACTATATAATATCAAAAAATGAAAATTCCACTTTTTTTTTTTTTACTTTTTCTGAAATAAAAAATTGTACAATTAAGCGTCTACTCTTGTTTTTTTTTTATTACTTTTTCGCTGACTTGAAAAGTGATTGCAAAGTTTGGAAACACAGACTTATCAATTGTCACTTGAAATTATGTCAAGAAAAATGAATTTTCTTTTTTTCTTTTTAGATTAATTATAAAAATTTCCCTTAAATTACCGCTAGTATAACAATTTGCCACTGATTTTTAATTTGTAACATAATGTCCCTTTAATTTATGTGAGAAATTTTTATTATAGTAAAAAAATTAAATGTGACTATTTCTGAAAATTTTTTACTATAATAAAACTCAAATTTTAAATTTAAATCGATAAAATGAATAATACCTTAATATTTTCTTCGTTTGATGCATCCAAACTGCCTTCTTTAATTAGCTTGCTAGCCTCTTTTATTTTTATTTTTATTTTTATTTATTTATTTATTTGGTCTTATCGATCTTCTCACATTCAACCTGATGCGAAAAATTGAAAATACAACTTTATGTCCCCCCAAAATTCTGTTGTAGTTATTAGCTCCCTACATAAAAACTTTTGGCTTCGTCACTAGTTAGGATGAGTTGGTTGGAATTTCACAACCTATTTGTGTCACGAGTTAGGATTGAAAATACAACTTTATGTCCCCCCAAAATTCTGTTGTAGTTATTAGCCCCCTACATAAAAACTTTTGGCTTCGTCACTAGTTAGGATGAGTTGGTTGGAATTTCACAACCTATTTGTGTCACGAGTTAGATTTAGTTTGAAGTATTTTCTGATAAAATTGACCTCGACCCGACACAAACACAATCTGCCGATACGAATGGCCACCCTCATTCAAAAGAGAGAAAAGCAAAAACAATCCTCCCATATTTGTGTTATATTGTTTTTTTTTTTTTTTTTTTTAATTTTCCTTGTAACTTTGCTATTTGTGTTCCCACCATTGAAGAGCTCCATTAGTGGAAAGCATGCAGCAACAATGATGGGAATATGACGCACATCAAATATAGATGAGGATTCTAGAGGGTTATAAGTACTTTTTTGTAGATGGTGGGTTATGAGAAATTGTATTAACTTACCGTTTGATTAGCATATAAGAAAAGAAAAACATACTTATAGTTTGATGTGAATCAAAATAGGACGACGAACTGACTGTCGTTAAAAATAAACGAAAAAGCCACATCATTACCGAAGAAATAAAGGAGATTCAAAAAGAAAGTAAGCCTCTGACTCGAGAGAAACTCTAGATTAGATTAACATTAGATTTGCTAAATCTTAAAAACACAAAACTGAGTAATAATTCCTTTTCTGCAAGCAACATTTTTTTTTTTATAATATACTTAACCTATTTCTAGTCATAACAAAACATACGTTTCTTCTTTCGTAATTAGACATAAGTTAATCACTTAGTGACTATTAAAATGGCACCTTAATTTAACAAAAAAAAAAAGTTCTTATGTATATGTATAGATTTATATATACACACACAAAACATACGTGGTCACGGGAAATATATTTCATGGAGCGACATCTAAAACCCAAGTTTCCATCACTTTGCGCCACTTTAATTTGTTCACCAAGATACATCAAGTAGAGGGCTTCTTATCCGAATTATCTACAACATTAACACAAACATGGCGCACTAAGTATAAACTATAGTTTTACAATGCATTAAAATAATATGCATGACCAATTTTAAAATTTCAATTGTGATCATTACATCTTATGAGCATTGTGTTCATACTAGGTGCGCGCAACCAATAGGGAGTCGGGAAGCGACCCTCCAACTACACTTAAGGTCTTAATTATATCGATTTATAAAATCCTTACCTCGTGAGGTTAGTGTGACACTTAATTAAATTTTATTAACCTCTTTATTTATGTGGTGAATACGCTTTTATGATGTCATAATTAGCAATTATTGCATAATATAAAGAGACATAAAACATCCTTCAAAAAGAAAAGAGAGTCATAAAACATAACATATAACAAATATAACATCAACACAATATGGTTTCATGTAAGAACAAACAAGTTCAATATTGTAGGCGAGGTGCGTACTTACTTGAATTCCACGCAAGCATTATACTAAGTCGTATTTCTCGCTTGATTCTCAGTCGATACCATATCTTATTGTAGTTTAACACTCAACTGTCAGTTATTTATTTTCATAGTTTATCGAAAGACAAAATCCTAATTGATCTTGGACTCCTTTATATCTTATTAGATTTCCAATATTATTTTTGTAATTTAATACTTAATTTTCTCATATTAATTTTTTTTAATTTTCTTGTTGACAGTTAATCCAGTCATTCTATGGAATTATCTTAAAGTTTTACCCATGATTGTTAGATTATTTTTTTTCTTAGCTTAACTCTAATTATTATTATTGAATACTGATTAATATAATAACTAACTTACCGCTTATTTATATAAGGTGCGTTTGGAACTCTTTCCAAAATAATTTTATTTTTTATATGAAAATGGAAATGAAAATGTTTTCAATCTCAGACCTAAATCATTTTTAAAAATGCGTTTGGTAGTTTTATCAATAATTGTTTTCAGAATAAAAAATTCATTAATGTTTCTCTCTCTCTGTGCTCGAGAGAGAATAAAACGGAAATAATAAATGAAAAACGACTAAAAGTCATTTTTCATTTCTCTCCCATTTTACACTAAACTAAAAAATCGTTTTCACTTCCGTTTTTTATTTTTAATTTGGCAATCACCGTTTCTCTCTCATTTTCATTTTTTCTTTCTCAAAAAACATGAAAAATAAAATCAAAACAAACTTCAAACACAACCATAACCTTTTAATTAATACTCCAAGTAATTCTATTTAAATTTTTATGACGGAACCAACTTAGGCCCATAATCGACTATATGCGTTTATATCATTCTGTGGGTCTTCGTTGGGCTTTTAAGACCAATTTGTATTTTATGTTATTTTATTTTAGGAGAAAGAAGAAAATAGGACAAGACTTGAGATGAATTAAAATTAATAGGCTAATAGTTTACATAAGTTAATAAATATGTCAAATTATTGTTTACGTCCATAATTTCTCTGGTTATGAACCATAACTTGACAAGTTATTGTCCATAATTCACGGTTTTTGTCCATAACTTGTCTGACTATGAACCATAACTTGATAAGTTTGTCAATAACTTATTTGGTTATGAACCATAACTTGACAAGTTATGGCCTATTAATTTTTATAACTAAAAGTTGACCTATATACTTTCTTAAGCTTTTCATATTGACATATTTTCTACTATTTTCGTTTTATTTTTTAGTATATTAGCTAAAATTAAACTTGTGAACTCAAAAGGCACATTTTTCCATGTTTACCAAATTCGTTACTTGGTAAGGTTCTTAACTTCTTAATACTTAACACAAAATCGACTAAACGAGTGATTTTACCATTTTACTCATAATTTAATAAAACGACTAATTTACCCTAAGCCTAATTATGCGATTTCCTGCAACACGGGTCGGGTCTTAAAATTATCTAAGGCCTTATTTTATATTTTAAAGTACAAAACTGAATTTAAAATCTCTTTTAAAAAGTAATTGCATAAAAAGCCTACTTGAAAACTGGTTTCAAAGGTTTTTGACATCTCAAGTGCTATTTAATTTACTGTAAAAATTCTGTGAAGTCTTTCACAAGTTCCGTTCATTCTTAAAGTTTTAAAACAGTTTCTAGCCGTAACTAAGCTCAGTTTCTACAACATTATCTTTCGTAATTTACTGCATTATTCTTTTTATATTTTCAATGAAAGAAGTGAATGACGTCTCCAATCACCGAAAAGTAATCCGGTAGATTATATCATCAAGTTAAATATTCTAATAATCATGTGAGAAATCGAAACTCAGATCAAAAGTAGAACAACAATAAAAACAAAAACAAAAAATTACTACAAAACATACAGACAACAATTGGACCACAAATCCAAACTAATATAAGATATTAATTAACAACAATAAAAAGCTTAAAATTAGTACAAAACAACCTAATCAAATCTTAGGAGTACTGTCACGCCCCCAAACGGGGTGGGTGACGTGGAGCTCGATTAGGGGTTAATAAAACAGATTCCCAGACGAGCTTCACTTAACTCCATTAAAATATAAATAAATTACAGAATTCTGAGCTTCTGACTACATAGGGCTCTACCCCACAGGATATATCGTATCATACATACATGCACATAGTGTTGGACTTTCGGTCGGCGGGCATGCCCGATGCTCGAAAATTTTCGGACACGGCGGGCAGGCTCCTCTCGCCGCCCGAAAATGTTTTTCTTCGGGCATGGGCTCGGGTAGCCCGAAAATGGTAAGCCCCTCGACAGCCCGCCGCCGTGGAGAAGCCTTCCCCCGCCGTTCGCCGGATTTTTTTTGAATTTTCTGACAAATACCTGAAGCTGCCCGAACTGCCCGAATTTTTGCCCAAATTACCCGAATTTTTTGTGACCGTTGCCCGAATTTCGACCCGTGCCCGAAAAATGCCTGATTTTTTTTTACCGTTAGCCCGAATTTTGAAAAAAAAAACGGTCTTTTGCCCGAACCCGAACC